TTCAAATGACAGTGGTAAATGTGTCATAATGACACTGAAGTGGATTAATAGTATATTACATTACGAGTGTTGAAAGTGAAAAATTGCACACGAGTGTATGAAAGACGCTTTCTCACAAGTCACAAGTGATGTACACCAGTTTTCCTACGACCATCAGGGCTGAAAGTAAGTGAAATTGTTGAAATTTATTGTATTTTTTTAGTTTTCATTGAAATAAAAATTACAAAATTCGAATGATTGTAAATAAAATAGTATACAACCTTGGTTAAAAGTTTCATTACTGTCTCGAGATTTTAATTAAACCATAGTCTACGATTGAACCTCGGCAGCGCCTCGGTTTAACCTTTTAGACCCTGAGATAGGGCCTGTTTAGTGGAGTCATTTTTTTTGTCTGGCATTTTGAGGGATGTATGTGACTAGTTAGTTGATGAGAATATAAGGGATTTTAATGCCTGCCACCTGTTCGAAATGTCCACAGAATGTTTCGCCGAAAAACTCGATTTCGAACTGTGATTACCGTCTGGCGATTTTTCAGCCTCATTTTCACATCAAAACCTTCCATTCTCTCGATTGCCAGACAAAAAGTAAACGCGGAAGGTTCTTTTCTTTTCTCTTGGAAGTTGACACCCATTCCCATTTTCTCAGCTATTGAAAAGCATCTGATATTTTTTATGGGTGAATTATTTATCAATGTCAATCTTTTATTTAAAGGCTAGAAAATTTGAAATCATTAAAAAAAAATTCTTCATGTGAATCAATTTTTTTCTTCTGCAAATTTTCGAACGGGAGGCCGGCATTAAAATCACCCATATTCTCATCAGCTTGGTAGCCACATTCATCCCTCAAAATGCCAGACAAAAAAAAATGACTCCACTAAACAGCACCTATCTCACAGTCTATTTGTGAAATCTTTCGATAGTTATAAAACACTTTCCACCTCAATATGTAATATACTATTCCTGAGGGGAACAATAAAAAGTTACACGCTACAAAAGTCCTTTTAATTCTCCCCCGGTCCCCCCTACAAAAGTAGATTTTTTTATCTTGTATAAGCGAGCGAAAGCGAAAGTGAAACATACTAGTAGTTACTTTCACTTTCGCTACTAGAATGTTTCACTTTCGGATACCTATTCGCGATTTTTGAGAGGAAAGGATGAAAAGTTTAATACATTACATGCTGCAAAAGTCCTGTTAGGTGCTCGGAGGTTTTCAAATAGCCGAGGCTGCGCTTCGCTTCGCCTCGGCTATTTGAATATACCTCGCATCTGAAAGTACGCTTTCGCAGCTCGGAATGTAAGCAACTATTTAGGTGTTCTGAGGTATTAAATACACCACGCACCTTAAAGTGCGCTTCCGCAACTTGGAATTTAAATAACTATAGTTCAATTCAATTTCAATTCTTGATATCGTAGATTGGTAGCTACTTTCAGACACACAATTAGTTCTTCTTCTTACTAATTTTATACCGCCGTAAAAAATAGGATTTTTTTTTTTCATCCCGAAAAGGAAGAAAAGATGTTTTTTTTTCTGAAAATGTTCTTGTTGCAAATATTTGTTTATTTATATTTTGAGCTAGGATAAAGATTCAGACTTGCGGTTTTCACCAGTTTCCTTATTTTTTCATCCTCTTTCCATCTAAATTACAAAAAAAAAGCATCATTATATTTGAAATTTCCAAGAAAAAATGGAAAATTGTCGACTTTTAGACACAGCGCCCCCTAGCGGCAACAAAACAATTTAATTTGGTCATTTTTATCATGCATTTCATTAAACAGAAAAAAACTCTTCCAAATGACACCAGATTCATTCAAATCGGTTGAAAAACAAAAAAAGTTATACCGGGTGTCCCACTAAGGTCGGCCAGGTACGATATTATGGAGACCATAGACCTCACGTAACTTGAAAACAAATGCAGATATTGAATTGCGGTTTGCGCCAAAATGTAGATATTTTTTTGCTCTTTAAGCACAGCAATACAAAAATAATATTTTGCCATTTGGATTTTTCATGAAAATTAGGAAAAACTGGATCTTGAATAAACAGCGCCCTCTAGCAGACGCGGTGGGAACTATCGACCTCGAACGAAGTGGTGTTCTTAATAACAATGAAATTCTCTCTCAAATAAACCCAAATTGAATGAGTTTGAATGAGGGGTATGGAAGATACAGCAATTTCTAAAAAAAAAATTCACCAGCTTCCCCCACCCTTATTACTGAAGATACGAAAAAAAGCCTGATAACCAAACTGGCGCAAAAATTAATGAACTTTTGATTTCTGTTGTCAAAACAGTATCTTAATATAGCGTTTTCTTGAGGAAAGTTGAATTTTTAGCTATATCATCGTAATTGCGCCCCCTAGCGGTCATCCTAGAAACTTGAAAATAATTTCCATCAATTTCTCTTGGCCGACGTGTGGGACACCTGGTATAACTTTTGTTCCTGACAAGTTTGAACCTTCCCCCACCTCTTATTTGAAGAGTTAGAGCAAAAATCCTCAACAATTTTTTTTCGTAATCTCATCAAGATTTCAATAATCATATTTTTAGGATACCTTAAGTGGGCGTTTTTTGAAGATAATCACAGTATTATGTTTTCGAGTGTTCGTTGCGCCCCTTAGCGGTCAACTTACAAACTTGAAAACTATTTCCAGCAATTTTTCATAGCCTATTTTATAAAAAAAATTAGCACAAGAAACATGACCATATAAATACATAAAATTGGAAAACCCCCCCAAAAAAGAGGATATAAATGAAAAAGTAACTAGTAAAAAAAATTGATAAAGCAAAAACGATTCTAACGCCACTTGTGTCCCCACTTTCCCTACCAACATCGGTCTGGCGTGCATCACCTGCGGTTCCTGCGCGTTCAGCTACTCTATTTTTGGTGTTCGAATAAATTGAACAAAATGCAAATAAGTTCGTGTTTCATTTCGGGCATCCATTAATAAATAGCAGGCGCGGCTCCTATGTAAGGTCATTCGGTCAATGACCCACCAAAAAATCAAACAATAACTTTTCAATTAAACATCTTGAATATTACGTTTTAAATTTACCAACATTACGCTCAACAGAATACAGAAATCGAATTATTTTGCGCATATTGGGTACCCGCCTTTAAAAATTACAAAATACAGACAGGCATAACTGCGCTCGGCCGTATTTAAAATTGGGCTTATAGCTTTGAAATGATCATAGGCAAATGCAATAGGAATCAAGAGAGAGACATAACGGGCGTAAATGAGTAAGATAAAGAGGAACATTTGCGTCCATATGTTCCATCACGTCGACGGCCGGCAGCGGCGCCAGATCCTCGATCAATCGATATAGGTATTTATCGGAATGGAACAAGAGCGCTCAGAATTCGACGATTGTATTGTCGTTTTTCAATCGCGTTTATTGAAGAAAGATGAAAAACAAAAGGCCCAGAGTGTTGGGGTGTCCAGAGTTATTTTTCTTAAAACAATTACTGAATTGTCATTGTGCACATTATTTTTGTTTTGATTTAATTTTTTGAGTGATCTGTCCTGAATCTTTCTTTATTCGCTTCACAAAAATAGGTTCTCTTGTTCAGGAAATAATTTCTTTAATTTCCAGTGGGGGATTGACTTTTGAAAAACGGTTGGAATTAAAGAAAAGTGGTCGTCCAAAACCAAAGCTTGATTTATGCCAAACCACGAAAGAGCAGTCTAGGTTGAGAGCATTGGCTATGCTCAGTATTGAGACGGCATTTATCAAAAAAATTGGGAACTTCAATGAACTAGTCATTGACCACTTTGCTCATCAAAAGAATAGGAGAATTGATTTGTTATTCAAACGTGTCTAAATTAGGGACTAGTCGACCTAAACAATGAACATTAGACCCACCCAAAGTAAGTTATTTTATTTACAACCACATACGTAATGTTGACATTTCTGTCTTTTCAAAAGTTTGAAAGTGACACTTTTTTGAATTTTACTTTCCTCCCGGGTGGAAAGTGCTCACTTTCCACCCGGGTGGAAAGTAATTCCTCATTTCCTAAAATGTTAAACACAAGTCCTGTATGTCAAACTTTTTTTTTCTAGTCAGAACTTGTCAACAAAATTTTTTAATGTTTATTTGGCATTTATTACAAAATTGTGATGGTTATAATTGTTGTAAATAAAATAGTATACAAACCTCGGTAGGAAGTTTCATCACTGTCTCGAGATTATAGTTAACTGAGACGCGAACTAATCTCTCGACAGTAATGAAACACTTCCCACCTCGGAATGTAATATACTATTTTCTATTTAAAATGTATGGATGGGTCAAATTAACTAAATTGTTGTTGTATTTTCTTTATTAATTAAATATTTACTAACTTATTGCACGAATTCTAAACAGGTTTCTAACCAACCTGTTGTTTTCTACTTGACGTAAGACATAAAGATATAACCTGAAATTAGGAGCAAGGATATTACACCTCTCCTCCGCTAACTAACCCAAAATCTACGTCATCAATTGTCAATTTCAAAATGACCATAAATGAGCGCGAAATTTAAATATTCAAATTTAAATTCTTACAAAAAGACAAAAACTAAAGCCAAAAAATTTAGTATAATACCAAAAATTTTTCGCCTAAGGCGCTATTTTAGCCTGCGGCGCTATTTTAGCCTGCGGCGCTATTTTAACCTGTCCGGCGCTGTCCCTCTTAATTTGACCTACCTGTAAAAAAACTCACGAGCCGCGCCTGATAAATAGGATCAAATGTAATGAATTCAAAATATTACAATTATTTGTGATCCTTTCATTTTATATTTTCCGAAACTGCCTTTTCGACTCTTGGACTTACAGCATACAAATTACAAATTAAATTTACGGAAATATTGGTAACAAAAGGTCTGTTCAAAAACCCATGAACGACGGTTTCGAAACCACTCCGTATATACGAATATACGAATATGGGATTTTGCGTAGAAAAATCGCGACGGTAAATTGTACGTTTTCATGCTAGGGAACAAAACTAAAAAAGTCATATCCTAAGTCGATCACTTGATGTCATTAATAAATAGCCATAGCATTTTCTCTCTGCTATATTTACGAATCTTTGTAACACTCGGCAACGCTGTGATATTGCATTGCACCGAAGCGTGCGTAAACCGTCGATCCTCCCTTCCCGCAGTTCCCGCTCGTTACAGCTGCGGTTATTGAGCCGCCCGCCCGACCTCCTCCAGCCCAGCGCCAGCTGTGCGGCCGCCGCATCGATAGCGTCACGTTTCCCATAGAAATCAAACCTATTGTGGGGCGAATTCAATTCTAACATGGGCGAAATTGAATTTTACGATAGCGAACAGTTAATTACCGAAGTGGAAAAACGTCCTTCACTATATGATAAGAATATTAAAGAGTATAACGATAAAAATGTGAGAGAAAAGTTGTGGCGGGAAGTGTGCGAAGCGATTATAATGAACTGGAAGGAAGTGAATCCAGAATGCAAGGAAAAAACCGGTAAGATAATTAAGCACTTTATAGGTTCTGTTATGGATTATTATTTATAAATAATTTATATTTATATTTTTAATTAAAAATAATCAACATTTAACGTTGATAAGCTTAAACAAATTTCGCTGTTTTCGTTGCGCGGTCGCGCTTGGCCCCCGACCCACCGCCTCGCATCGACCGCCCGCGCTATTACTTCGTTTCTAATGGTCTTGGCGTGGTGTTAAATAATGTATAACTTTCTTCAAGAATTGGGCTAGCAAATTCAAAAAGAATTTTCAAAATCCGATTGGTAGTTAAAGAGATTAATAGGTTCAGTTTTAACTTGACATTAAAAATGCATGGTTCACTTAGGTATTTATTATTTTCTTTACTATGATTTGAAGGTTGTGGTTCTCCTACTAACATCAAATGAGGTTTCTCAAAAAGGATAACGCACGCCTAACATGGGATTTTTGGGCTCTATGGATTTTGTCTATTTTTTGATATGTTGTAGAGGATTTAATTCTTAACAACCTTTAAATGAGACGAAATCTTGTAGGTGTTACGGTCTTTGAGATATGAGCGTTGAAAGATGAACTTTTTTGCGACTTTTTGTATGGAGAGTATACGAAAAACTGGTGTTTATCAGTCAAAATTTTGACAGGTCGACATATTTCACGTCACCAACAAATGTCAACATAGGCTAAGGCCGGGACCGCACTGGCGCCAACATTGACCCTAGTGCGGTCTCGGTCTTAACCTATTTTGACATTAATTTTTAAGTGACGTAAAATATGTGAACCTGTCAATATTTTGACTGATAAACACCAGTAGCACCAGTATCTCGTATACTCTCCACACAAAAAGTAGCAAAAAAGTTCATCTTTCAACGCTCATATCTCAGAGGCCGTAATGCCTACAAGATTTCGTCCCATTTAAAGGTTGTTCAGAATTAAATCCTCTACAACATATCAAAAAATGGGAAAAATCCATAGAGCCCAAAAATCCCATGTTAGGTTTGCGTTATCCTTTGTCAGCCAATGAAGGCTAGCGGTAAACGCTAATATGTAGGTATTTAAAATATTATTTCATGTTTCTTTTTTTTTCAGCAAGAGACATCCAAAGAAAATGGAAAAACATCCGCGACTGCTTCCGAAAAGAAATAAACAACGAGAAAAAATGCAAATTGGGTCACGGAAAACGCAAAAGACGAAAATATATTTTCTACGATAGACTTTTGTTCTTATTGCCCAGCATGCAAGAAAAAGTGAAAAAATCGAACGAGTCTGACAATTCGGAAAATGAAGCTGAAGATAACGTTGAAACCGAAGAAACTAGTGCTGAGCAAAACACTTACAGGCCGCCAGTTTGGAGACCGCTCACGGGTCGCCATAGACACCCTGTATATGTTACCTATGAAGATTCAAATGCACCATCGAATATTGATAACAATGATAATGACGCCATGTCTGAAGAAATTAAAGTTGATCGAAAGGAACCGATAAAACAAGACGAAATTGATGAAGATAAATATTTTTTGTTGTCACTAGTGCCATCGTTTAAAAATTTAACTGCTGATCAAAAATTTTCTGCTAAAATTGAATTTTTGAAGATATTACGTAACCTAAGTCAGTCGTCCAGCAGGAGTCGCAGAACTAGAAGTCCTTGTTCTAGTGAACCTAGTGATAGCATTGCAATATTGAAACAGGAAAAAGCTGATTTTTAATTTAGTCTCTTTACATTATGTACCAATTACCAATGTATGTATTTTGTGAACATAGTCACAAGTTGCAAGAATAAGATTAAAAATATTTAAACAAGAAATACTCGGAGTTTTTTTGAAACGGCATTTTTTGTGCGCAACTTTGCCCTCATATAACTATCATTGTATCTTTTTTGGTTACCAAAAACCCTATACTTATTCACGATCTTGTAACACCCTGTATAAAGCGGGTAGCTGGTGAGTCAGTCGGTTCAAATAAGAGAATTGTTGTATAAAATTAAGTAAAAGCGTTTAGTAATTTTTCGAGTAATTTTTATAAAGCCAAATTAGAAATTTTTGTTGTAAGTAAAATGATTTTTAGTGGGATCCGCGGAATATTTGAAAAATTGATTTGAACTAATTGGCAAGATATTTATTAATTCAACTAATAATTGGGAAAAATAAGAGAACTTTGGTTGAACAGAAATAGTGATTTCAGCACTGGTTTCGGCATCGAAAGTAATTCCACAGAGCAATTTTTCTAGAACATTCTATCGTGTTCTATTCGAGAATCAGACAAAATATGAGATTTTGACTCCGCCGGCGGATTTTAAACGGTATCCGCCAAAATAAACAGTACCGAAATCTAAAGCTTTGAGTAATAGCGCACGCAAGTTGCATTTATCATATTTCGCTTACTTGGCATTAGTTATGAGGTTGAAATTAAGTTAAGGTTAAAATCTTCGTCATGTGTCTTCCAACTTAAGAAACAGTTTTCTTGGTAGAGCAATATTTCCAGTCATACGGATTTGAAAGGAATAAAGGCTCAAGTTTGGATCAAGTCTCAGAAAAATTTTAGCAACCACTCTTAATAAATATTTTCAATGATTTGCAGAATCATTATGAAGCTTTTTCGCGTCGCTATGATGCATTTTTTGAACACTACGCATGATACAAATTAATGAATGATATAATTTATACAGTGAAGACATAAAGTCCGTCGCCCCCCCTCTAACTTTTGAACCGCTCGGTATATTGCAACGAAATTTGGAATGATGATATGTGAATAGATTCTCCATTTTTTTGGAAAACAAATGACAGCTTCAGCTGTCAAAATGACAGCTAGGCGCAGTTTTGATACGTTTTTTTTAAATAGAAGGCGGGTGTCGAATGATATATCGTTTTGAAGGTCTCTTCATTCTAAATTTAATCCCTGATTCTGAAAACATTTGGTTTAGCGGTTTTCAAACTATGACGAAAAAACCAAAGCTTGTTTTGCTCATAAACACTCATAAAAAAAAAAAATAGTATATTATATACCTAGGTAGAGAAGTTGGTCATTATATACTGAAAGCTTTTATAAACCGAGGCGCGCAGCGCCGAGGTTTATAATGCTTGAGGTATATAATGACTTTTCTCTACGAGGAATATATAGAATTTTTTTTACTACCTACTGGCTAGTAAAAAATAAAAAATTTGTTTAAAATCTGTGTTGTAATTATTTTTTGTGAACGCCCTCTTGAGAGTGCTGCCCTCTATCAACAGCTTATATAACTTCCTATGTACCTACAGAAACCTGTATTTTTTTTCAAATTGACGTATGAAATTGAAATTGAACCAATAGAAACATGACAATTTCCTTGCGTCATGACGTCATTTTCATTATTGACCTAGGTATTTTTTCATTATTTTCATTATTAACCTAGGGAGAGAAATTCAATTTTTTCTTAGAAAAATAGATTGAATAATGTCTATTTCTCAGGTTAGTAGTAAAAAAAAAATTATCGGTTTTTTATTCATTATTTAAGTTACCAATGTCATGACGTCATTATTATTACTGAAAAAAAGACAATAATGAATAAAAAACGATAAAATTTTTTTAATTTTTTTTTTCATGAGTGTTTATGAGCAAAACAAAGCCTTTGTTTTTTCGTCATCATTTGAAAACCGCTAACCAAATGTTTTCAGAATCAGGGATTAAATTAAGAATAAAGAAACCTTTAAAAACGATATATCATTCGACACCGCCTTCTATTTAAAAAAACGTATCAAAACTGCACCTAGCTGTCATTTTGACAGCTGAAGCTGTCATTTGATTTTCAAAACATGGAGAATCTAGTCACATATCATCATTCAAAATTTCGTTGCAATATACCGAGCGGTTAAAAAGTTAGAGGGGGGGCGACGGACTTTATGTCCTCACTGTATGTTCAGTACTGTTTATTTTGGCGGATACTGTATTTGAAATCGAGTTTCCAAAAATTTATAGGTGTTCTAGGACACAACAGCCAAAATGAGAAACAAGTATAAAATGATGCTAGGCTTGATGAAAACCATCAAGGACAAGAGAAGGAAGCGCGAGGAAAGAAAGGAAAACCAGAAGCGGAAAACTGAAGGCGGGAAGAAAGACAGAAAAAAGACAAAATAGGAAGCCCAAAGACAGAACGAAAGGCAAAAAAATGAAGCCCGAAGACAAGGCAACCAGTACTGGCTTGTAGCACTTTCACAACAAGGAGATGAGAGATCAAAAAAAAAACAAGAACAAGAAAATTTTGAATTTTCCAAGAAATGGGTACTTAGTGCTCAGAAGAATATGGAAAAGTTGGAATGTGACCCGAGGGCAGGAAATGTCTCAGCCTGCAACCGGAAGTGTATGAACTTAGCAGTCCCATGGCGGAAAAAAAGTTCGGGGCTCATATAGTCTAAGAGGCAGTGACGATTTTCGGTACTTATTTTCCCACCCAGCAAACATGGATAGAATTATAGGGTTATTAATTCTAAGCAAAATTCATACACAGGGTGGAATTTTTAAATGGAATAAATTCAGTATTAGAAAGCCTGTTCATTTGCTGGAAAAATTAAAAAACGGGTCCCTTTATTTTTAGTTTGGCACATTTTTTCAATCTCCTCATAAAATTTAACCCTTTCTTAAGGGTAAAAACCTCAAAAACCATCCCCAACTTTCTTTTTCAAATGTAAAGATATACAGTGTGCGCCATAAAGTTGGGTATATATGGGAAAATTCTTAATTATTCCTTTTTTCAAAAAAACTTTTTTTTGGGGATCGTTAGGGCATGTTCAATAACCAAAAAATCGATTATGACATGATTATGACACATGTCATGTTATTTTTCTGATGACCAGAAAATGTGCAAAAAGGGACATGGGTACAGTTATAGTGACACGGCCGAACGGTATTTTCTAATTTATGACTTTCAAGTGTGTATTTCGCAAAACAATCTATTTGTTTGATATCAAACTTATGTAGTTTAGAATAAATCTATTTTTGAAATAAAATTAATATTTCCGATTTTCCATTTAATGGTATGGGTAAAATAAGTAGTTTTATTTTTTTTTCTCTGATGTGCTTCAAAATCGGCATGTTGAGTTCTTTTTGGATTCTGAACAACTTTTTCTTATAAATTTTTTTGATATCCCGCCAAAGGACCACGCACAATACTTATGAAAAAGTGGTTTCCGTCAAATCCAATAAAATTTTAGTATGATATAGTTCATGACCTCCTGATCAAATTTCTTCATTGCCACAAAAAAATCGTTCGAGCCGTTTTCGAGTTATTGCCTTTTCAAGATGGCTGAACAAAAACAAATTAAGGATTGAATAAATTTTCACATTTCATTGATATTTTATGATAATCGATGAAATATCCTAAAAATAGTTTATAATTATTATAATCAACATAAATGGTGCTACAATTTGTCTAATAATAAACAGTGTTATATTATTATATCCATTTTCGACTAACAGATAGACAAAATGCTCCATATACGCGTCTTGCAAAATACAATTTTGACATAATCTGATATTTTGTACTTGTTTTTTTTTTTTGAAATAACATAATACTATACTAAGATAAATGATGAGTATATTGGGTGTCGAAACTTGAATCGTTATATACAGGGTGTTTGGTACATCGATAGGAAGTTTTCAATATATGATAGTTGGGGTCATTTAGAAGCTGTTTGACCATATTTACCCTTATGCGATTTTAAGATATCAGCATTTTTAGATATTCTTGGGAAATATTTGAATTGTTCCTAAAACATATTATTTTTATTGATAGTAAAGATTTCAACCTTTTTCATTTTTTTTTTTTTTTTTTTTTTCGATATTCCTAATATACCGGGTGCCCACGAGATCACTTTCCGGCTGCCATTTTTTTATTTGTCCATCGATATCAACGAAACTTGGTATGGTTGATATTCTAACCAAACGCCATTTTTATGCATTTCTGACAAGTTTTCTTGACTTCCGGTTTCACCGGAAATGACCGAAACTTTTGATTTTTAAATGGCACACCCTGTATATTTTTTGTTTTTTGGATTCTACAGATCGTTTCACGTCCTAATGCACCGATTTTGAATCGAGTTTCTTCCAAATTTTGTTTTTAAATTGAATTTTAATTTCTTAGCTAGAGTGCCATGATCATCCTAAAATGACTCTACATACTTTACTTAATGTCAGAAAAATACAAACTCAATTTCATCTTCATAAACTTTTTTGATAGAGGGCTGTGAACTCCATTATTTCAGTATTTATGCCCTAGCTCAAAAACTAGAATAGAAACATATCACCTTCATAACATCACTAAATGCAGTATTTTAAGGCGAATCCAACGATATAATACACTACGACATTTTTCATAATTTTCGACATTTTTGATTTATTACTTATGTAGGTAATTTTTTTCTACTTAAAATTTAATTTGATTGAAAACGAAATTTGGACAAAACTCGATTAAAAAGTGGTACCCTAGGATGTAAAACGATCTGTAGAATCCAAAAAACAAAAAATATACAGGGTGTGCTATTTGAAAATCAAAAGTTTCGATAACTTCCGGTAAAACCGGAAGTCAGGAAAACTTTTCGTGGATGCACAAAAATGGCGTTTCATTAAAATATCAAGCCTACCAAGTTTCGTTGATATCGATAAACAAATAAAAAAATGGCAGCCGGAAAGTAATCTCGTGGGCACCCAGTATATGTCGCAGGCTTATTGTGAAATCAGTCTTATTATAATACGCCTAGGCTTTTTTAATACGACTAGGCGTATTGCAATACTACCCAAATAATTAGGAATCACACAATTTGACTGATAATTTTAGGCTTATTATAATACGCCTGCCGCTCGCTAGTCTTATTGTTAAAATGAACCTGCAAGCGATTATTTTCCAATCCGACTAGATAAAATTCGTCGTATTATAATAATACGACTGACAGTGTGTCAGTCGAATAATAATAATTATTATTGTTGAAAAATTAAGAACTCTTGAAATCAGCATATCGGCTAAAATATTGCAATTGAAGTTCCTAAAGTAAGTAGACAGAGGAGTGGACCACTTGACCCCAAAAATATATTAGGAACTGTATGGAGTAGTGAGTATTATGACTGGGGTTTATGAAATTGGTACCATACACGGCTTGTTGAAATCGATGGTTTTTGAGAGAAGAAATCACTGACTGCCAAAGTAAGTGTCATAATAAATGTTTGTTTTAAAGCTCATATGAAATGTAGTAGCAAATGTCATGAAAGCAGATCATGCTGTAATAAATAATCCAAATCTATAAATTGTATTTTATATAGGTAGTTTAAACTCTTCAAAATTTATATTAAAGTCCTGGGTGTTCACAGATACATGTTGCGCTGAAGGCTAGCTTTCCTATTAGTTGTGCTACAGAGATGAAATTTGGAAAAAATACTAAACCTTGGTAATTTAAATGCCATTAGTCGTATAATAATACGACGGATTTCATCTAGCAGGATTCTAACGCAGGTTCATTTTAATAATAAGACTAACACGCAGCAGGTGTATTATAATGCGACTGAAATTACTAGTCTTATTGTGAAATTCTAAAGTATTTGGGTAGTATCACAAAATGCCTAGTCGTATTGAAAAAGCCTAGGCGTATTATAATAAGACTGATTTTACATTAAGCCTGCGACATATACACTCTTTCGAAACAATATGGATAAGGACACCCAATGATTGATACAAAAAAAATGTAACCCAAGTTATGTGTTGAAATACATGAATTGAAAATATCTGAAAATGGCGATATCTCAAAAAACGGCAAAACTTTGCGATGAGGGGAAATGACCCTAACTATCACTCATTGTAATCTCCCTATCGATGTACCAAACACCCTTTATACAGGGTGTCCCACGGTGGATGGCGTATTAGACGTTTATGGAGAACTAAAAAGCGGATCATTTTGAAAATTTGGCAACTAGGATAAACGACCATGATCTACACTTTAAAAATATTTTTGATCATGCGGTGTTACCGCTTCTACTCTAAACTAGTGGCAACGTCGCTATTTTAAATGGAACACCCTGTATGTGATTGCATATTTGGATTCTACATAAAATTCTGAGCAGATTTCATGTGATATACCCTATACCTAAGTTCAACTGTTTTGGAAACATTGACAGTTGAAAATTGACTTTTTGCAACTTTGACAGGCTGTAAAACCTGAACGGTTAATTTTAGAGGAAAATCGATTTTACATTCCTATCTTAGATTTTTATAGACTATCATTTGACACCAACTTTGAATTAAATCCATAATTGAAAATTTCAGTTAAATTTAATCTCTGGTTAAGTTCAAAGTTGGTGTCAAATGATAGTTTATGAAAATCTAAGATAGGAATGTAAAATCGGTTTTCCTCTAGAATTAACCGTTTAGGTTTTACAGCCTGTCAAAGTTGCAAAAAGTCAATTTTGAACTGTCAATATTTTCAAAACAGTTGAACTTAGGTATAGGGTATATCACATAATATCTGCTCAGAATTTAACGTAGAATCCAAATATGCAATCACATACAGGGTGTTCCATTTAAAACAGCGATGTTGCCACTAGTTTAGAGTAGAAGCGGCAACACCGCATAAACGAAAATATTTTTAAAGTGTAGATTATGGTCGTTTATCCTGGTTGCCAAATTTTCAAAATGATCCGCTTTTTAGTTCTCCATAAACGTCTAATACGCCATCCACCGTGGGGCACCCTGTATGTACCTACCTATAGATTCTTTATTTTCACATGTTACGATTATTCTTCGAGTACAATTTATTAGGCTAAACCATAAAATAGAAAAAAAGTTTTGTAAAGGTAGAATAATATTTTTTGAATACATTAAAACTTGGGATCATTTTATTTTTGTATTGCCGATTAGCATCAAAAACTCTCTTAAGAAGTTCTGTGTGAGGATATTTAACATTTATCTCATGCCTGGAATACACCAGAGCTGGGCAGTAATTGCCTTGAAAGTGCTTGAAAAAGTGCTTCAAGCACAATAATCATAGATTTAATATCTACTAACGTGACAAGATAGGTAACGCCCTATCTAAAAGCATTGGAGCAAGGTGGCACAAACATGTGTTAAGAATCTCTACGTATTCCCAAGTAATACGTAGAGGCATTTTATTAGAAGCAAAGGTTCCCATAGGCGTACCCATAAGAAATCAATTTTGAAATATATATTTAATTCCAGAAAGGTAGTTTTAAAAATGATAAATTTGAGCCTAAAACTGAAAGCAACTGAACTGTTTCTAAAAAAAAATACATGAGATGGGACCAAAAATATAGGTCTGTTTCTGCAGAAATCACAAACCAGTCAGAGCGAATTTCATTGGTTGAAAACAGTCAGAAGCAGTCATAAAACTAGTTTCAACCAATGAAATTCACTCTGACTGGTTTGGTTTGTGATTTCTACAGAAACAGACCTAATATGTTAGATTTTTTTTTCTTCATTTTTTGGGGATTTGTATCTAAGTAAAAAGTGTAGCTTTGTAATAATTTAACAACAATGCCAAAAAAAAAACAATGTTTATTCAGAATATTAATAATAATATTACAAGAGTTGAGGTACCTACTGATAACTAAAATATACTTATAGCAAACTGATCAATGATACAAATACTGAAAATATAATGCACTGAACTTTCAAGTAACTATTAAATACTTACGAAAAGTACTATGAGTATGAGTATCTACCTATATTTTTAAAGTTGACTATAGATAGCATCAGAGTGATATTGTCACTATTAAGGACGCTATATATGATTCAAACTTAGTATACTAACCACTGTTTAGTAGTCAAAGTAGAGGCAGACCAAACCACTACTTGGCCAACCAATAATTTGGTTCATTTGTTGATATTTTATAAATTTGTTGATAAATTAATTCAAATGAAAATTAATTTCTTGGTCCAGACAAGTTTCAAATTGAGCCGAACTTTATCCTTATTTGAAAGATGGCAAACTTCTAGTTTTATTCAATTGAATGGTGGACATAACACCACCAATGAAGATAGTTCCAGTACGATTAATTCCTAATTGAGTAGTCCAAACAAATCACGAATATATATTCTTCAAAAATCAAAATTAATGATTTTTTTACATAAACCTATGAAAGATTACTTCGACAAAGTACCCTTTAACCTGGACAGTACTCGAGAAGCACTGGTGCTTGCAACAATAGGAACAGCAGAGGCTTTTGAAATTTTAGCACCAGTTTTTGAAAATCTGTAGTCTCCACTGCACAAACATATGTCCATTTGCTTACTGAGCAGCTGGATTTTAAATTTAATGCTCCTAACCATGTTCTTTTCATATCATAAATTATCCAGAATACTAAAAAATTATGTTTAATAGAAATATAAAATTAAAATATGTACCATGTTGTATTTTTGTGGCCTACATGCACCTCCGACACTGTATTTTTTTCCCTTCAATCAAGTCAATGTCATAAGTTTTGTTTACTAACCAGTGAAATTATAAACAATCCCCTGGTTTTCCTCTTTTCTGACACACTGCACACTTATTAGTCATTTTGAATCCTGAATAAGAAACTTTTACGAAATGTATAAACATGTAAATGATAAATTTTTAAACAAGTCCACTTTAAAGCAGTGAAATACCCAAAAAAGTCGATGAAAAAAACACACAATAATATATATTGACATTTACGCTGGTACGGCAATCGGTTTCTATTGGGAACCACCCAAACAATATACTCTGTTTAGCTAGACTTGTATAGTGTTCTTTTCGTTTATATTTCGCCTTAGAGAGAGATGTCTAAAGATCCAAAATCTAAACGGATTTTTGGAAATCGTACTATAGAAAACCAGCGTAAACAAAGTAAGAGAGACAAAATCAAAATATTTGGAGAGAGATCTTTCTACCATATTTGGGAGTTGATTACTCATCTTTTAGTGCTAACTATATATAATCTAAGACAATAATAGTGTTTCGTGAGCAGTGCTTGCAAGCACTTTTAAAATACAGTGCTCGGTAATTGGTAATCGAAGCCTCTATAAGAAGTGCTTGGTAATTGGTAATTGATTTTCGCATTTCATGCCATTTAAAGTGCTTGCAAGCACTTGAAAGACTTGCAAGCACTAAGCACTCAAAAGAGTTTGCAAGCACTAAAAATCAAGTCCTTGGTAACAACTTAAGGCAGCATAAGCTTTAATGTGATTGGCTGGTTGAAGGCCGTCTCAGGACTCAGCGTCGGTAATAAGTAAACACTTGTGTTGTGTGTGGTATTAAGGTTTATTTATTATAACTAAAGATAAACAGCTGTATACAACATCCTTTTTTAACTAAAAAGCGCTTTTTAAAACTGGTACCTTTAAAAATTTGTATTGCTTAGAATACACGTTTTTAAAAGTGACCAGTTTTAGAAAGCGCTTTCAAGCTGAAAGAGGCTGTTGCATACAGCTAAAAGACTTTAATAAACTGTGGTAGTATAGTGTATAGTGTTAGTGAATAGTGTTACCTATTGCATGCAAGCCGGGCCGCGCTTACACACGCCAACGCTCCATGGTTATAATAATATTAATATTCGATGATACAGTGTAGTGTAGTGTATTTAGAGTAAAGAGACGAAAACTAGTAAGAAATTAAGAACAAAAAACTTTAGTTTGGTCATTTCATTATAACCATCATCATATCAACATCAGCCAAAAACATTAAAACTTATTACGTTTCAAATTGCTTTCTCCCCAGATCCCAATCCAGCAACACCTTTATTTTAAAAATAAATTGGAAGCAATGGAGTAGTATACTATGTAAGAAAATCAGTAAAATAACTGCTCGACATTATTCTATAGGCTAAATCATGATGGTATAGTGGGATACTAAATTATTTTCCAGCATAGTGTCTATAGAATTAGTCAGAGAAAAACAAACTGTAATTTGAATTTAGCGCCACAGCGGCGACCAATAGTATTCGAGCTGCTGACCATCTGGCAACGCTGCTCAAAATGCCTTTAAACGACAGCTCTCCAACAGTTCAACGACGTGTGGTGTCGTGTGAATCGTGTGACATGTGACATTGTCACAGTAACTTGTTTACGTTGTTTGATGTAATAAATTTGACGTTTCGTTCTTGACTTTGACGGTCAATGTCAGTGCAAATTGTGCGTTCTCAAAACCATGATGTGTTGCCAGATTGGAAAAACTAACTACGTCACGAACTTTTATTTTCACGTAGGGGCGGGGCTAAGAGGAAATTAAAAAAGCCAAATTCCAGTGTATTGCGGTTTTCACAGACCAACTGATCACACTAAATAGTACGATACGTCGGGTATATCACTACGCAGTAGTTAAAAATCACTTGTATACTACCCCATTGGCAAAGTAGTGCTTGGTAATTGGTAATTTGTTTGAGAAAAAAGTGCTTGCAAGCACCTGCAAGTAATCAGCAATGATTTCAAGAACTTTTTGAGCAATTGGTGCATGGTAATTGAATTGTGCAATTACTTTCCTTGGTAATTGGTAATTGCAAGCACGAAGAATTTCCAAAGTGCTTGGTGCTTGATGCTGGCAATTCCTTTTCTGAGGGCTTGGTGCTTGGTGCACCTGATTTCCCATATATAGTAGTATCCAGTAATTGAAATATTATCATACTGAATAAAAAGTTGGTGTTTGATAGCGTTTCTGATAGATACCATTCCTTTGCTAGAAGAGCTTGGAATTAAATTTAAAATAGCAAGTCAACTAGGGGCACGCCAGAATCAACTCTCAACGGAAGAAGCCAATGCCTCTGCATTAGTCACTAAAACCAGATGATGGATTGTCGAGGCTAGAAATGGACGGACATTTTCAATCGATGTTTAAGTTATTTTCGGAATCTATACCTATCCATCTCACGTAAAAAACTTAGGGGATTTTGATAAGATCTGTGGAGCACTTAATAAATATCGAGAGTCAGTAATCATGGAAGGAGCAACCGTTGAGGATGCTCAATAAATACTGCAAAGGTCTAGGGAAGTAAATCGCCTTCAAAACTTCCTCCAACGGGATAATCTGCATCTTAGAAATGCTAGGTGGAGGAGACTGGAAGAAAATCACGCCCCAAACTTTCCATATCTTGATTTAGATTACCTAAGAGATATTGCAATAGGAGTATATCAGCTAAAACTTTCCCCTTTATTGGCCTTCATATATTCAGGACACAATACGTAGAGATCAAGAAACCGAACCGAACTGCAGATCGGTACCCTACTAAAAAATCCAAATATTATCCATTTGAGAGTCCACTCTTGCTCTACCGCAACGCTATCAAACCAACTTTTTATTCAGTATGATAATATTTTAATTACTGAATAACAAATCAAGTCAAAGAACCTTGGGAACCTGTGCTTATATTTCATCTATTCTGTACTATGGTATCTGAGCATTCCAGGCCTGAAATAAATGTAAAATATCGTCCTACAGAACTTCTTCAAACAGTTTCTGATGCTGGTCAGCGATACGAATATGAAAATTCAAGTTAACAATTGAAGGACCTAAGTTTTAATGTATTCAAAAAATATTATTCCACATTTATTAAAGTTTTTCTATTTTATGGTTCAGCTCAATATATGGTAGGCAGAGCTGGGCAAAGCACTCAAAAAAAGTGCTTGGAGCACCAAGCACCAAGCCTTTAGGAAAAGGAATTGCCAGCATCAAGCACCAAGCACTTTGGAAATTCTTAGTGCTTACAATTACCAATTACCAAGGAAAGTAATTGCACAATTCAATTACCAAGCACCAATTACTCAAAAAGTGCTTGAGATTATTGTTGATTACTTGCAGGTGCTTGCAAGCACTTTTTTCTCTTTTAAAATATAGATGTTGCTGAATTGGGGTTTACGGAAAAAGCAATATCAAACGTAATAAGTTTGGTTGATGTGATGATAGTTATAGTAAAATGATCAAACCAAAGTTTTTTGTTCTTAATTTATTACCGAGTTTATTACTAGTCTTCACTCTACATACACTAAACTACACTGTATCATCGAATATTACCATTATTATAACTAAAGATAAAGACTAATAAACAATAAACTGTGGTAGTAGGTATAGTGACACTGGCAATCGCCAGCTAGCATACACCTTAACACAACACAAAACAAATGTTTCCATATTGCCGACGCCGAAGCGGCCTTCTACCAGCCAATCACATTAAGGCTTATGCTGCGTTAAGTTCTTACTTGATTTTTAGTGCTTGCAAGCCTTTAAAGTGCTTGCAAGCTCTTTCGAGTGCTTGCAAGCACTTTAAGTGAGAATTAATTACCAATTACCAAGCACTTTTTATAGAGGGCTTCGACTACCAATTACCGAGCACTGTATTTTAAAAGTGCTTGCAAGCACTGTGCTCGAAGCACTATTGTGCTTGAAGCACTTTTTCGAGCACTTTCAAGGCAATTACTGCCCAGCTCTGATGGTAGGTACTCAAACAATAAATAATCGTAAAATGTAATGATAAATAAAATAAAATCTATAATACAGGGTGTCCCAATAGAAAGTGACCGATTGTGAATGGTTATAACTTCTAAACCAGGTGTGCTAGCTACCTGCGATTTGCACCATTCGACTTCTCTTGGCCTAAAGTTTTTCTCAGTTAGTTGCAATTTTTTTTCACACTTATACAGGTCGAGTAGAAAGATGCCGTTATCCAACATCGAAATTCTCCACTATTTTTATTGAAACACCATGTATGTTGCAACGCCAAAATTAAGAGTCGTGGACAAGGTATTGATGTACCAATAAACATCGGGCCAGTGGCGACGCGTGACCATCAGTCTGGGGGGGTAAATGGCACGGGGGGGTCGAGGGGCGCTTTCCGAAAACGCGCCGCAGGCGAATTTTTTTTGCAAATTTCAAGGTCATTCACTTTTCCAGAACAATTATTTCCTTTGTGAGAAGAATAAAACATGACAAAAATTTATTTTCTTCAATATATTTTGTATTTTCTTTTGGGCATCCTGATTTTTCTCTTGATAATTCGATCCTGGGGGGGGGGTAATTACCCCAATTACCCCTCCCGACGCGACGCCCCTGAATCGGGCATGGAACTTGAAGTTTTAGCCCTGAAAAATTGAAATAGAAATCTGACCCAAAAATAAATGCATTTTTTCAGGTTCAAAAAAGGCCGATGTTTATTGGCAAATGAATACCTTGGTCACGACTCTTAATTTTGGCGTTGCAACATACCTGTATTCTCCACTATTTTTAATGGAATACCCTGGTATTCCATTGAAAATAGTGGAGAATTTCGATGTTGAAAAACGGCATTTTTTTACTCGCCCTGTATAGGTGTGAAAACAATTTGCAACTAACTGAAAAAAAACTTTAGGCCAAGAAAAGTCGAATGGCGCAAATCGCAGGTAGCTAGCACACCTGGTTTAAAAGTTATAAGCACTTAAAATCAGTCACTTTCTATTGGGACACCCTGAATATTAGGATTCGAATTTTAACACCCAATATACTCATTATTTATCTTAGTACCTATAGTATTAAGTTATTTCACAAAAAAAAAAAACAAGTACAAAATATCAGATTATGTCAAAATTGTATTTTGCAAGACGCATATATGGAGTATTTTGTCTATCTGTTAGTCGAAACTGGATA